AAGAAGTCCCTTCTGAAGACGAAGTACCCGAAGATGATATTGGAGTAGTTGAATTCAACCAGTGGAAAGACAGGCTTAATGGTTTGACACGTGATGAAGAAGAGCTTGAGGGAGTAGGGGTTGTTTCAACAACAACAGTCACTGGGTCACTTGGGTTTGAGGGAGTAATAGTAAAAGTCGTGGCAATGGATCCAAGATGGGTTGTAGTGGTTGTGGACTCTGGAGTTTTAACTTCAATAGTTACAGGATCACTTGGATTCGAAGGATAGATTGTGACAGTAGTAGTACCTGTACCAGTCCATGGTTCAGTTGTAGTGGTTGTGGATTCTGGAGTTTTAACTTCAATAGTTACAGGATCACTTGGATTCGAAGGATAGATTGTGACAGTAGTAGTACCTGTACCAGTCCATGGTTCAGTTGTAGTGGTTGTAGTTTCTGGAGTCTTCTTGAGAACTGTAACTGGGTCACTTGGATTCGAAGGATAGATTGTTGTCTCGAACGTACCTGTACCAGTCCATGGTTCAGTTGTAGTGGTTGTGGATTCTGGAGTTTTAACTTCAATAGTTACAGGATCACTTGGATTCGAAGGATAGATTGTGACAGTAGTAGTACCTGTACCAGTCCATGGTTCAGTTGTAGTGGTTGTGGATTCTGGTACTTCAACAGTAACAGTCACGTCGCCGTCAGAAGCTGTCACTGTAAAAGTCTCAGTATCAGTTCCTGTCCATATGAGAGTAGTGGTTGTGGTAATCGGGCAATAATCAGATTCATTGGTTGTGTTAAAGGTATACAAAGGAAATTCAGACTCAGTGAGTTGTGTTCCATCGGGTAAGGTAATACCAAGTGTGAAAGTAGCTGGCCCCGTGTAACCATTATAATAAAGGATCTTAATAGGATAATACACTCCAGCCTTCAATTCGTATTGTTGACTTCTTTCCGCAGGCGACTGCGAAGTAGTGGAAAACAAGTATGCACTATCTCCTGCCTCATATGGAATGCTACTATTACTACAGCAGTCCAAACCGTTCCCATTTCCAATTGTTAATGCTCCAGCGTTGTTAAAGGTAACCAGAATGTTGTAAGTTCCTGACTGCGTAGCATATAAGTAACCTGTAAGCCTTACTCCAATTTTTTCTGTGTTCTCCGAACAGCCATAAATAGTAGCAGTTTCACCAATAGTTTCCAGTGGATAGTAGAAATTAATATCATCACCTGTATTACCAGTACAAACTACCTTATATTTGTCCATCTTTTGAAGGAAGGACTCAAAATTAGCTTTATTTCGGTTATCATTATCGACCTCCTCTGTAGTAACACTAAAGAACTCAGCTTTTAAACCCTGCTCTAGGTCAGTTGTATCAGGAGAACATCCTCCGACATCAATACTAGCGGAAAATACGGAGGGCAAGATAGCTAAGCTGCTTAATAAGCTTGCAAGTTTCATTTGAAGAAATTTAGTACCATGCATAGGGTACATTATTTACTATATACCCACTTATCGACAAGGGGAATTACTTGGCTGAGTAATTTCCAAAGTATCTCCATTTGGGCATTGATATAGAGAACACGAGTTTAGTATTTAAATAGTGCACATTCCCAAAAGGTTAGTACTTTTACTCTGGAGTATAAGCTTGTTGGAAGGTTTAATATAGGAAATGGCTTTAACAATGAGATAAAGTATATCTACATCTCAAGAGGTAAAAGATCTTCAGCCAGGAGAGTCGAAGTTTACGGCAAGGGGCAGGTTATTTCTTCTTTTCAAGGCCTAGCCAAAAACGAATGGCCGCTTTTGAAATCTGAGCTGAACAGGAGACAGGATGACATTAGAGGTTCCACAATTTTCATACCTTAGTACTCTACGATCCTCAATGTAGTAACCTTGTATTCTCAAAATTTACTCTAAATCAAAAAAGAGTTTACATTTCCAAATGATATAACCGCCCTGCCTAATCTTTACTAGAACTGTTGATTTTTAATCGCGGAGGGTAATATTTAAGTACTGCAAGAGCTTGATAACATACCTCAAAGCGTATACGTATTAGCCACACGGAGTGCAAAAGGTACTCAGTTGATTGGATCTATTTAGGCAATTGGACAACAGGCATTGTTGATTGACTCAAAGTGGCAAGACCCGATGACTGGAACCCCTAATTAAGATACGAATTAGAGAGACAACCTATTGTTGAACAGAAAATATTCCAAGGCGTCAGTTCAACTAATTTTCGTCATTAAAGGGGCAAATCAATTCTAATTGGACACTGCCTCTTTAAAGGAGAAACCTTGAAACTGGGGTCATAGCCATTATATTTTTTTTGAAAGATGATGAGTAAGTTTTTAATACTAAGATTTGTTCATATGATAGAAAATAGGCTGACCCAGGTGCTGAAATTAGTGAAGCAGCGGCACAGGAAAATACCTTCGAAACCTATTTGTCACTATTCATATTTGACCTGAATGAACACCTAGTGACCACAAGAGAAATTGAATAATCCTATCAAACTGTAAGCAGAGAATCTGCTAGAAACTTTACTACTCAAAATGTAGAAATTGGCGTGCATTTACTTACACGGCGATATGTTAGGAGCAGAGACTAAAATGATAACCATTTACCCAGTTTAGGAAGGATCGGCATTTTATCATACCCCCTTCATGAAAAAAAAATATTGGCTGCTGATGGCCAGCCCCTGCAACATCCGCTAGCATGGAAGTTCAAAAAGAGATTTCTATGGCATATTACAGGCATAAAAAACAGAACTTGTAACCAAAGTTGTAACAACATCTAGAAGAGCACGGTCTTTTTCAAGGTCTTTTTCAAGGTCTTTTTCACGGTCTTTTTAATAAAGATTGGAACAGGCGATTATGAGGATGTGAAAGAAAACCAAAACATAGCCTTAATGAAAATTTGGAAAGCAAAATAATCAGAGAAGATAAGCTTGTACGTGTGAAATTCAATTTGGTACTGGTGGGGTCAGATCTTCGGTGGGGTATGGGTCAGAACTTTCTTTCTTTACCTTCTTTTCAAATTCCATCACTGAATAACCTGAATGATGTTTTAGGGGAATGCGTTGTGTACCCCTCCGTGGGGGAATTGAATTCTATATACCGTAGCCGTTGGTGAGTTGGAAAACTAACATTCATTATGTCATATCGGTAGTTCAATAGATACAGGTTTCATTTTGCGGAACATCCTAACTACTTTGAATCCTCCCTATCCCCTTCTTGAAAGTCAGCCTCAAAACCCTTGGAGTCCCATCCCGACATTTTCGTTATATTTTTCGTCCGCCTCAGCCCACTACGAGTGTTGGCGGCTGATTACAGTTAGTAGGATATTAGAGAGCTTAAAAAGCATTGATCATTCAGACATGGTGAGCCCCTTTTACATCTTGTTATCAAACGTAATTGTTGCATGCTTCGAAGTTTCCAAACAATACCGTTTGGAGATAGCAATTGCGATTCATCGGTTGGCCTTCAAATGCTGGCTCGGATACTGGCTCAGATACTCTGTTGGCTTTCCTCTGGAGTGGATCCTAAACACTTCGTATGACATATGCCAGAACCTCCTCAGAAACTGAAAATTGACTCAAAAATAGAGGAAAAGACGGCTCTTTATTTCTGTCCCATACGCCGAAGATGTCCAAGTTTACAGGGAAGACTTTCACCTAGTGCAATGAAACATATCCAAAATCCAACCGTATATGTTCTCTACTCTCTTGTGAGCTTCCACCTTAACACAAATATTACAAAAAATAGTGTTACTAGATGAAAGTCTTGCTTATTGAATTCATTGTGTATCCTAGAGATAATGCATTTAGCAGGTTAATATTACCTGAACCAAATGAAAATCCTCAAGTCTATTATCAAATTTGTAATTCTTAAGGAAAAGATTATTCTACAAAACCTTCATTTTTACAAAGAATTAGGCTTCAATATAGCTATAAGAAGTTGAGAAGAAAAAAATTTCTCACTAAACTTGTGAATTTTGCAAAAACTGTTCGGGCTAAATAAGATTAACGGAAAATTATTGGAAAAAGTTCCTTGTCATCGAATCTCTAAGTAGTGCAAGATTAAACTATCGAACAAATTGTAATTACCGTCCTTCCTAGCTGTAGCCGGTTTTTAGGTCGACTGGAAATTTGGGGGAGTGCAAGCCTAATTTTGATCGCAATTCTTCCGAGGCTTTAGCATACAAACTTGCTCATTTGCAGCCACACAATTGGTTTACCAACGGAAATCAATATTTCTGACTGCATATGTTTCAACAGTTGTAAATATGTATGTTAATACATTGAGATTTCCTTGAGTAAGTCTAAAATAAACTTCTATCAATTTTCCTGCAAGTGATTTGCCATTTAAGTGACAATCATGACCAGGATGAACAGTATAAGGGTTTGCTGCACTTCAGACTCCGTAGCTGAAACCCATACGTTTTCCGGTTTCAAGCGGTTCAGGCGTTTTCTTGACTTACAGCCATCACAGGAGGCTTCGGCATTTTAACCATACTAATAATTATTCACCGAGGTAGACCTACAGCTGGATTTCTGATTCTTCATCCTCACTGAGAGTCGATGATAATGCTCGTGCTTATGGATAATGAGTTTACGTCGGAAACTTTCGATCACGACGAGGATATTTGGATATTTAGAACATTGGATCGAAAGTTCGATAGCCAGGAAATCAAGACCCGTCTATTACCGTTAGGTGAAAATCCGAGACTTAAACACGGAGATATATTTTACTCTGCATAACTAAATACCTTTCCATAACTTTTGGTTTTTGATTTCGAATGGAGCAATCAACTCGATATCGTCACTGGACTTACCAATTTGAACTTCGTAGTCACCAGTCTCTAAGATCCATTTGTCGAAGTACTCATCAAACCAAGAACAGGTATCTTTCAAGCACAAATCGAATGAGACAGTGACGGATTTACCAGCTTTGATGGAAACCTTTTCAAATCCCTTCAATTCCTTGACAGGAAGAATGGTCTTACCACCCTTGTGGCTGATATATAATTGAACCACTTCAGCACCATCTACCTTACCAACATTTTTTACTGATAAAGATGCAGTTAATTTATCTTTGGCTTCATCAACATTAATCTTTAAGTCAGAGTATTCAAAGTTGGTGTAAGATAATCCGTAACCGAATGGGAAGGCTACCTTTTTTTGCAACTTGTCGTAATATCTGTAACCGATGAAGATATCCTCACCGTACAAAACTCTACCTCTTTCAGTCTTAAAGTTGAGATAAGCAGGGTTGTCAATGTTCTTAAAGGGGAAGGTCAAAGACAACTTACCAGATGGGTTATGGTCACCAAATAACACATCAGCAATACCATTTCCTCCTTCATTACCACCATACCAGGCCTGAAGCAAACCTTTGGCTTTGCTCAACCATGGCATTTCAACAGGAGTACCGGATTGGTTAACAATAACAGTGTTTGGGTTAGCCTTCAATACAGCTTCCACTAAGTCGTTCGTTCTCAAAGGTAAATCCATATCTTTTCTGTCATAGCCTTCACTTTCCCATTCCTGGTTCAAACCAATGGCTAAAACAACTTTATCAACCGACTTAGCCAACTTAACAGCATTAGCTATTTCTTCGTCATCATCAATAACTTTGGCACATCCGAAGAATAAACCACCACCACCACCAAAGTCAACATTTTCACCATTACTAGCGGTAAAGGTTGGAGCCGAACCAAATTCAACTCTAACTCTGTACTTTTCGCCTCCCTTTAAGTTGATTTTGTTGGTGATCTCAGTAGAACCCATATTGAAGAAGGCTTCTCCCTTTTCTTGCTTGGTCTTGTTATCAACAACCAATTGGTCATTGACATATAACAAAGCAGTACCTTGAACAGTCAAACCAAACTCATACTCACCGGACGACTCAGGAACAAAGTCACCTTCAATATCAATGTAGTACAAATTGCTATCAAGCTTGTCGTTTTTGTAATCCACCAAAAAGATAAAGGAGGTATTGATGTTCAATTCGTCAATGTTTTCTCTATCTCCCTTGTAGTCCCTTGGATGTTTATAGAACTTCATGTTGTAACCAGTTTTCCCGGTGGAAAAGTTAGTCAATTGAGTGGCCAAGGAAGGCATGCTCTTGAAAGCGTATGCACCAACTGTGTACTCAGGAGTAGTGGACAATTTTTTGGAAATCGACTCGAAAGGAGTGGTGGTATAGTAAGGCCTCAAAGAAGCAGAACCTCCACCAGAGTACGCTGGATACTTGGCGTTTGGACCAATAACAGCAATTTTGTCATCTTTCTTCAATGGTAAGACGTTATCCTCGTTCTTCAACAAAACCACAGATTCAGCAGCAATTTGTCTCAACAAGGCCGAGGTTTCCTTTGTGTCATTGTCAGTATCTTCCTCTCCATTTTCAGGCACTCCGCTCTTGGCACACCATTTAACCAAGTTCAAGACATTTCTGACTCTGTCGTCAAGATCATCAATGTGCAATTCTCTGGACTCAATCATGTGCTTGATGATTTCAACGGATCTGAAGATGGTAGGACCTGGCATTTCCAAGTCCAAACCACTTTGAATGGCCTTTTCAGAAGTGTAGACTCCGAACCAGTCAGACATCACCAATCCTTCAAACTTCCACTCATCACGCAAGATATCCTTCAAGATCTTGGAATTGTTTGATACATGGGTTCCATTGACCTTGTTATACGCAGTCATGAAACAAGCAGGATTGGAGTACTTGATAGCCAATCTGAAAGGTTCCAAATAGATTTCTCTCAAAGCTCTTTGAGTGACAATGACATCAGAACTCTGTCTCTCGTTTTCCAAGTCATTACAAACAAAGTGCTTGATAGTAGCAGCAATGTCTTCGTCTTGGATCCCATTGATGATGGCAGCCGAAGCAATTCCGGCCAAATAGGGGTCTTCCGAAAAAGATTCAAACCCTCTTCCCCCCAAAGGACCTCTTTGCATATTTGTGGTTGGCCCCAAAATAACGTGGGCACCCTTATGTTTTGCTTCAACCCCCATCAATTGGCCGGCTTTTTGAAGCAATTCCTTGTTGAAGGTGGATCCCAAACCGGTTCCACACGGAAAGCACGCGGCAGGAACTCCGTCAAAAAACCTAGTACCTCTGGTACCATTTGGCCCATCGGACAATCTCAAGCTAGGAATGTTCAATCGCTTAACGGCAAAGGTGTGCCAGAAGTCAATTCCGGCAATCAAGCCGATTTTCTCTGAGAGTTCAAGCTGGGAAAGTGTATATTCAACGTCAATGTCTGCCATTGCTGAAAAATGCTAAAAGGTGCCAAAATGGGGTGAATAACTCCTATTTATACCCGTTGATTCGCAACTCGGAAAGAAAGGAAAACTTACCTTGTTGAGAGCCATATTGCGGCTACCGTCCAGGCACTGTAATCCCCCGCGCCGGTTGCGGCTACTATTACCACATTAGTATATCATGCAGGATACACCAGTGGTATATCAGCAGCCCATTGGCCGGAACCCTAAATTCTTCTCCAACTGTAATTCACCCGCCACGGAGTTTATACCATTTTCTCCAGAGACCATCGCCTCTACCACCAGGTGGGGTGTGTCAATGCTTGGCTAACCCCAGGTTTCGCAGAATCCCCATTGCTCAGTTGCAAGACTGTCACTCTCATCCCCACTTCCAGGATTATCACACCCATTGCTATCTCCACCAAGATTATCACCCCCATATTTGTAGCTCCTACAAATCCTGGAACCACCTCCGCCACTAGGTTCTTCAACAGTGTCGTCCCAGCGCTGTGGCCCCGGAGATCGTTCGTGTGGGGACATTTCGCACTAAATAATTTCAAACTGTTTGTCTACCACTATCATGTCTCTTGAGTCTCACGCGTGTGACTTCTGTCGAAGGCGGAAGTTGAAGTGCCTGAGAGAAACACCTAGGTGCGATAAATGCATATGGTATCACAAAGAGTGCTTTTACTCCCCTGAAAACAAACGGGTCCAGTTAACCAAGTCCAACGTGCAGAAGCTTCACACTCGGGTCTCGATTTTAGAACGGCTATTGGCTCGGTATGTGCCCAACCTGGAGGAGCTTGAGAAGCTCATCGGAGCCACCGCCGTGGCCGCAGCCCCGAACGAGGCCGCGGCTGCTAACTACTCTCCGGACTCAATTGACTATGTTAAAGAAGAAGAATTTCTTCTAGATGAAGTAGAAGATATCGATGACATAGTATGGTATGAAACCGACGATGAAAAGGTCATCAGCGAATACTCGGGTCAGAATGTCACCGACGGTATGAGTGCCCTTTCGATTGAAAGTAAGAATTTGAAGATCCCCGTGTATTATGGTCTCGCATCCCCCAACGGCCTAATCAGGTTCTTGCAAAAGGTTGACCTGAACACGAAACGAAATCTTTTGGAAAACTATAAGCCCATGCCCGCATCGTCTGACTACAAGGTGACTCTTGATATCATTCGGCACGAATACGGAGATTATTACTTGGATAACACCGATTTCCACCAGATGATTTTCGAGTGCTATTTCACCACCTACCACCAGGCGTATCCGCTCATTCAAAAGTCGTTGTTCTTGAAGGACTACAGTAAGCTACACACCAAGAACCCCATGCAGAAGAAGTCGTTGACGATTTTGATCTACACGCTTCTTGCCCTTGGTTCTTTCTGTAAATACGGGGATGATTGCGTGGTGGACTTGATGTATTACCTGAGGGTGAAGGATACGTTGAAGCAGGTAGATATCATGGAGTACAATAGTTTTTATTTGCTCGAGGCCCTCACCATTCTTGGAAATTACTGTCAAAAGAGAAACAAACCCAATACGGGGTGGAACTACCATGGGATCTGTTTCCGAATGGCCATTTCGTTTGGGCTACATCGAGAGATTCACGTCCAAAAAGAGAAATTGGACCAGAAAGCCCTCCAGATCTTGGAAAGAAGAAGAAGAATTTTCTGGGGTTTATACGTCTTGGATGTGGGCCATGCGCTAACGTTGGGAAGACCCACAATAGCCCCCAGCTTGAGCTGTATTAATATCAATTTCCCTTCCATCGACTTTGATCATCCTCCTCAAACAGTCTCCGAAGGAGCAAATCCAAATCTCATCGAAGGGTTTGTGCTAGAAATGAAACTCATCAAGATCTCGTCCAAGATCCATTATGTGATGTCGAGCTTGGAAAAAAGCTTCATGAAAAAGACTACAGAATTGTTCGAGTTGAACCGAGAAATTGTCAAGTATGCCCAAGGGTTTCCAGCCTATTTCAACGAAGATTCAGAAATAGCTGTTCCTGAATGGTTTCAGTTCCGTAGAGTCAAAATCATCTGGAGGTACAAGAATGTGCAGATCTTGATGTTCCGAAACTACATTTGGCAAATAAGACCGTATTTACAGAACCCCAAAATGTTTACCAAGGAAGTTAAACTTATCAAAGATTGCTTAAAGGTATGCTTGGATGCATCTATTGAAACCATACACTCGATAAATGAGTACCTCAAGCACCGGGACTTAAACTACTTCTCTTCGTGGTACGGGATCTACTTTGTGTTCCATGCGGTATTGGTGCCGATATTACTTATTTATAACCTTAAGGACCAGTACTCAGATGAAGAAATCATGAAGTTCAAGTACTACATCAATTTGAGCAAAGATATGTTATTCAAATTGAAGAGATTCAACCAACTCACGTGTAACTTGGTTAACTTGGTAGAGATCTTGTCGAAGGGAATTGGAGAAGAAACAGGACCTCATTTGAAGACTGAGAACGACGGGTTGGTTAACGAGATTTTCCATAAAGACTTGACAGAATTCCGTTACGACTTCGAAAAGTCCTTCAACGACACAGTTTTAGATATCAGCCCATTGAACTTCGAGTATTACAGTGACCTTAACGAACAGTCGGTCAATGAGGACTTACCGTACCCATTTGTATAGTCATTTTGCAGCCTAATTGTCGTAGTCCCGCGCAGGTCGTGTGCCACGCCGGATTCCTGGCCAATGAAAAATTGCTCGTTCGCATTATATCAAACCAAACTCGTAAGGTTTTTCCAATCTAACAAATCTAAACCACAACACAATGGCTATCGACCCTGAAACATTTAAGTTCGACACCCCACAATTCGACCCTAGATTCCCCAACCAAAACCAATCCAAGAATTGTGCCCAGGCCTACGTGGACTACCATAAATGTGTGGCTGTGAAAGGTGAAGACTTCGAGCCTTGTAAGATCTTCTGGAAAACCTACACTTCTTTATGTCCACTCGAATGGGTTGAAAGATGGAACGATCAAAAGGAGGCCGGAAAATTGCCTTTCAAGCTCGATTAGATCACTTACGTTTTATAACGACCATACTAAATTTAAATATAAATTATTCATCAACTTCACATAAAGTCATCTTCATAGTTTTCCAGAACAGCCAAATTCGAATGCATGTTCTCCTCCGTGAACAAGTCAGCGTACGGATCCTGATTCCGCTGCTTCTGTTCATGGTGCTGTTTGGCCAACTCTCGTTGTTGGTTCTGTAGTTGTCTTTGATGGTCTTTTTTCTCTCGTTCATACTGGACAAGGGCCAGCTTTTCATTAGCAATAAACTCATCCGTGGACATTTCTGTTTTGGTTTTGCTGAGCTTGTTGAGGACCAAGTTGTCTTTCTTGCCGACATTGAACCGCTTCACGAGTTGTTGATTTTTAAATGTAACAGTCCCTATATCCATCGAGCCATCACTGACGAGGTTATCTACTGAGGTATATATTATGGTGACCGACGCCATTTTGTTTCCCTTTATACTGTTGTTTTTAGTGAGCTGGCCTAGCTGGTCTAGCAACTGTGACGGGAGACTCAAGGACTTAAAATTCTGTAGTCTCTGCTGGTTGGTGAGACTGAGGTAGACGTGAGCAGAACTGACTTTATCGACGTGGAACCACAAGTTCTTGGGGTTGGAGTAACGTATAAGCGGGTCATTCTCTACCTTGTCGCGTCCCATATACACGTTATACTGTTCTGTCTCAAAGTCTGTGTCGACTTGTGCTTTGAAATAGTACACCATCTGTGAATGTTTCAGCTGACGCGAAAAATTCCCGTATGTAGTAACAAAGTTTTTTGGCATTCCCCCTGTAACTATCCTCCTTCACTCCTTCCACACCAACTGTGTTCTTTCATTTCATTCATTTAACCAATCCATTCCTTTACTTACCTATACCCATATACTTGTCAGCCTTTGTCATGTCCGATTACGAGTCCCTTTTGGAGTTTGAAGATAGTTTACAAACAAGCACCCAGAAAGATACTTCGATTACTTTGGGCAACTTGGAAGCCAAGATCGAGTACAACTTGGTGGTTCCGTCCGACCATTCTACCACCTCCCCAGAAATCGCGTTAGAAGCCATTTTCAACGGTTACGACTATTCTATGGATGAGTTTACTTCGTGCAACATCTGTGGTAAACCAATAAACACCAACAGCGATTGCTGTTTGAAGTTTATTGAACAGTCCAAGCTCTCATCATCGTTAGAGTCGAGTTACTGGAGATTGTTTTTGAATAGTCCCACAAGAACCATCAACACTCTTCCTCACTATTCCCAGTTATTGTTCTTGGAACAGGGAATCCCATTTCAGCTCCGGCCAACCGTCTGGAAGAAATTGTTTTTGATTCACTACAACAACGAGATACCCGAGGCGTGTTTGTTGGTGTACAAGAACTTTCAACACTCGTACAACTCGGAGACGTCAGATCAGATCAGCAAGGACTTAAACAGAACCTTTCCAACTGTTTCGTTTTTCCTTGATGAGAGAAACATCAAGCAGCTTGAAACCGTCTTGAACGTCTATGCGAACTACGACGTGGAATTAGGCTACTGCCAGGGATTATTGTTCTTGGTGGGTACGTTATTCTATCAGTTCAAGGATCCCCAGCTCACTTTCCACTCGTTGATTACCATCATGGAGTCCGAGGTGGAATTGCATGACATCTTCACCCAAGAATTGATGTCCTCCACCTTGAACAAATGGTACAGTGAGTTCACTGGGATGTTATCCAAATTAGACAATGAGCTTTACGTGCATATGTCATCATTTGTGGATATGAAGGTATTCTTATACCAATGGTGGCTTTCGTTCATGTCGAGTCACACCCCAGATTTTTCCATCATCAATCGGATCTTAGACTTTTGCTTAATCCAAGGCTGGAAAATAGGAATGTTCAAGATTTCTGCTGGGTTATTATTGGTTAACAAACCCATTTTGATGTCGTTGACAGATGGAGAGGAAGAGGTGGTTTATCAGCACCTTTTATACGAGTGCAAATGGGGGTTGGCATTGAAAGATATCAACCATTTCTTTGGTGAACTATTAATGAACTTTGACCCCCTGTTTTTCAACAAGAATGAAGATATGTTGCATATTAACAAGCCCATGAAAACACATAAGAGAACCCAGTCTTCCATGATTGATAAGTTCAGAAGTTTGAACATCTCAAGCTACTCTTTGGGCAACACCTCCAACAACTCGATTTTCTCCAAGAAAATCTACACAACTGTCAACAATGACACAGACTCTGTGTACTCCGAGGTCACCATAGACTCGAGTAGTTCGGGAAACTCAAAATTTGCAGATTACTTGAAGATCCCATCACCTTTCGCCAATAGCGAAATATCAAGACAAAATAAGACCATGAAAGATTTGTTGATCAAATGCATGGCAAACCTTGATGATGAGGAATTAATCAAGGAGATTATTCAAGTGATTGCTTAATAGGTACATAATAGAGACAGTTTATATTATACCAATTGACAATTTATCCGGGTAAACCCAAAGTTGCACAAAACCGTGCCAGTCGCACAGTTCTTCCAGTTCTCAAAATTTTCAAGCAACAGGAAAAGCGCCAAATCAATTGTCATTCGTCCGCTGTTATACAAGTTATTTTTCAGCATCACCAATTATATTGCATAGATCTCCTCCAGGGATTCAACACGTTATACAAATCAATCTCCTCGTTCGGACCATCTTTTTTCAATTCAGAAAGGAACCCTTGACGTCCCCCTTGGAGTACCTTTCTTAACCGTGAGTCTCAATTACCAAAAAAGCCCACCGGGCATCTTATTAGAAGTAGAGAAAAGCATCATCAATCAGTTATTCATTTTACTATCTACCACTACAGAAGATAATTATCGTGTTCGACTTGAAGAAATCAATTACATTTTATCTAATAGTTCCAGATCAGTTCTCCCTCATTATTTCGGTAAATTATTAAGTTTAGTTTCCATAAGTTATACTGAAAACACCACTGAACTTAGTCCATTAGAACAAATACTTGAAGACAGTCTATTATTTCATTTGAACGCTTTCCGTGACATTGGTTTATATCATCCATATTTCGAAAAGTTATTCAACTCAATCTCGGTTTTAGATTTTGTTGAAAGAGTTAGAGTCGGACCAGTACTTGGATTATACTTCTTCGGAGAGTTCTGCACCTCGTACACTGAAGCAGACAAAGCAAAACTTCTTGTACTTGCTACCAATATCACACAAAGAGCTAGCTTTTTCACTGAAAGCTTTGAATTTGCCCCCTTTTTCGCTGCTACCATCAGTAACAAAAACTTTCCTCCAGCTGCTAAATTATTGGCCGCCATCACATTAGAAAGAACCATTGATCCTACTTTAAAATTAAACATTCTTGAACTTACCACTAAAAGTTTACCTAATATGTCTTTCAAAGAATTATTGATCGAGGTAAATAAGGATTTGAAGGGTATTAATCCTGGAAATTTGTTGCCTGTCATGTTAAAAATAGATAAAAAGGAAATCGATCTGTCATTGGCTTTGGTAATTGCAGAGGTTATTTCACCAGGATCTACGAACTTGCCATCTAATCCTTTGAAAGGTTTGTCTACGTGCAAATCATTCCCTGAATCATCTGCCAAAGGTGCCCAATTGCAAACCACATTTAAGCTTCTTGATTCTGACCCCGCCATTAAAATCGACTGGTTATTAGTGTTTTCCAAGGCTCAAGAGACCTTATCTGCATCGAAGGCTGTAGCTCCATCATTCTTAAACATAAATCAATTCATAGCTGCCATTGATTTCCGTCCTGGCTTGTTAGACATTGCATTGAGTGTTGATTGGAGCTTCAGCAACGTCTTGTTGTATACACTTCTCACGGCTGACCCTAAGCAAGGTTGTTATGACCTTGGCACATCTCCTTTCTTGACGAGAGGTTTTGACGATGTTGAGACTCCAATTGAATCTCAATTGGGTAGAAGAACTCCTATAGCATATATCAATGTCGGCCGCTTAGAGTTGAAAGTTGTTAGCCAATACGCGGCATCTAAAAAGCCCTTGAATGAAAAGTCAATTGACTCCGAAATCTCCAAATTGTTCGATCATCACTGCCATACTTTCCCAGAATACATGCTTTGCGCATGTATCACTTTCGTGAACGAGGGTAACCCATTCATCGAAGGGGTTTTGAACAACTTGTTGGACACGTTGCTCACAAATGAGAGTAAGTTTTTGAGAAATGTAATTCAGAAATTCAATGAAAGAGAACAAGGCGCTCTTATGAATAAGCTTTTCAACTATTACAACCTCCGCAAGAATACTGATGCAATCTTGACTATCAGCCGCGCCATGTTACAACTGAACTTGTTTGATAGTTTATTAACCCAGTTCTTGAATATCAATATCACCATGGGGTTGAACTTGGCAATTTGTTCCTCGGTTTTGGACTTTGATTGTAAACCATTGATTGATTCATTGTTGAATGATCCAAATAAGAGACCTATTGTCGTTCAAGCCATCTTAGAGATATTGGAGGTCAAGTCTACAGAAGACACTAACCTCATTACCAAAACCAAGGTATTAGGTGTAGCTACTGTATTTCACTTATTAGGGATTCTTACCAGACATGCTGGATTCCTTAATGGTGAGAAATTGAAGGCATTACAGTTACAGTTGTTAACCACTTATCCAAGATTAATCAACTTTGGCTGTGGTCACGATGGTGCTATTCTTGAAAATGACAAGGTATCCAATGTATTCCCTGAACCAGTTGAGCAAGAGATGAAAGCCTATTATTCGAAGATGTACAACAAAGAATTGGATATCAAAGAAATAGTTGATATGTTGATTAAGTTCAAGTCAAGTGATATCCCACACGATCAAGATATCTTCGCTTGTATGATCCACTCATTATTGGATGAATACAGATTCTTCTCAGAATATCCTTTGACTGCCTTGGCTTCCACATCTTTGTTGTTTGGTGCATTATTACAAAAAGATATCATTCAAGGAACTACTTTAACTGTTGCATTGAATTTTATTTGGGAGTCTTGTAATCAACCACAAGATTCTCACTTGTTCAAGTTTGCAGTCCAGGCGTTATACAACTTCAAGTCAAGATTACACGAGTACCCAAACTACTGTAAGCATCTATTGGAGTGTAACTCATTGTCCGCACATGCCAAGATGTACCAGATAGTCAAGGATGCGTCAAACGGTATTCCTTGTGATGATCAATCCTTCAATGGTAGTAGACCTGATTCATCGAACTCCAGTGGACAACCAATGCTGATAAACAAATCAACTGAGGACGGTGGAATAAAATATCAATCGATAACTATCTCCGACCAGATCATTGGAAGCATCCAACAGGAAAAACCCAATGAAAATGTTACTGACAGATTACTTTTCTTTGTTAACAACTTGACTGGCGACAACTTGAATAGCAAATTGCCTGAAATCAAAGACTATTTGATTGAGAACTTCTTCTTGTGGTTTGCCGACTATTTGGTTGCCGATAGAGCCAAGTCTGAACCTAATAATCATAGATTATACTGTGAGCTTGTTCAGGAATTCGATGATCCTATATTCTATGAATACGTTTTGAGCGTTTCTTTGAGGGAAGTCAGCTTTTTGATTAGAAACTTCAAGGATACATCTCTTGAACGTTCTCATTTGAAAAACTTGGGATCGTGGTTAGGTCAGATTACTTTGGCTTCAGACAAAGCATTGAAGAGAACTCACATTGGAGTGAAGTTTTTGTTAGTGGAAGCCTATGATTTCAAAACCTTGCCTTACGTTATTCCTTTTGTTTGCAAAATCTTAGATCAAGCCAAATACTCGAAGATTTTCAACTTACCCAATCCCTGGGTACTTGGTATCATTAAAGTTTTGGTCGAACTTTATGATTGTGCTGACTTGAAATTGAATCTGAAGTTTGAGATTGAAGTCTTATTAAACTCATTTAACATGAAGATTTCCGATGTTGAGCCTTCAACAATTGTAAGAAGCCATCCACCAAATCCTGCTGCTTTGGCTGCAATGTTTGGTATCCAGCAGAATGCTAATCCTTTGGTCAATGACTTTTCCAAGTTGGCCCTTGATGGACAAGCTCACCTCCCCCCTGCTCAATTTCAACCTTCTCAAATGTCTCAACATCAGTTGTTACAACAGCAACAGCAACAACAACAACAACAACAACAACAACAACAACAACAACAGCAACAGCAGCAGCAACAGCTACTTCAACTTCAGCTTCAACAACAAC